AAACTTGTCATTGTGTCTTTTTTTCTACACAGATTAAATGTATGCATGATAACGCAGTATACCATCACAGATTTCATAAATGACGTTAAAGTCAATACAATATTGTTCCAGTATTTCAAGAAAACATTTGCTGTGCGTTTGTCACTTAACGCATTACATACTGTACAGTACATGTAGAAACTGTATATTGTTGGAAATATTCTGATGCTTGTAGGTATTGAAGGATCAAACATTTATTTATCTTATTTCACTAATTTGCTTTTACTTTGTAAATAATTTACTAACATCATTCTACAAACTATTCTGCTAGAATTATGGAAAATTACTAACTGCAACTTAGGTGTGAGCTACGCGCCTGGAACGTGAAGGGCAGAGCCAGCTTCAGGCAGCTTGACTAGAACTGAGAGCGCCTGATATCTGCTTAAGCCATGATTAACAAAACCTAGAAGTACGTACTGTCTGCTTAAACAATAAATAAAGGAGCCCAAGAATATTCTTACAGTTGATCACGTACCAAGGCTAGCAGCCTTCGCTTTACACCATATGGAATTGCACTGGAACTGTTCTGGGTGGGTTTTCTGTTTGTGATTTTGTATAAAAAGCATCCTCTTGTATCAATGAATTGAGTCAGTGCTTCATCGGCTTTGGATCCCGGGGGCACACATAATAAAGGTAATGCCTACTTCATACACACCTGGATCATGTCTCCTTTGTTGGACACAACAGTATAAAAAGCAATATAACATTTTAAAAAATGCATTTACATACCAACAGCAACTTGCTTGAAAGGGCAATGTAACTGTTATTCATTCATGTCGTAACAGTAATATTAAACATTTTACAAGTTGCTTTTCAACAATACATCTCTTGGAATCCTTACGCCTGGCCCCTTATTTCCATACCACGACTCCGAAGTTTTATGGCTGCTTCCAGCATAGGAGCATTGATGTTCCCGACTTTGCCAAAGTCTTCAAAGAGGTCTCGCACTGAGAACTGAGCAGGCAGAGGAATCCCCTCACTGGCAGCACTCTTCTGGCACTCTGCCTCGAATTCCGAAACCATCTGGAAAAACAGGAGAGCGTAGACACAGGATGTGAGCATAAGGCTTTTGCTGTACACATTGCACAAAAACTTTTTACAAAACAAACGGCCCTTTCCTCACTTGTTAAAAATGTCAGATGACGACGTAATAGCTCTGCATGCAAGCAGCTGTTGAACAAAGTCAATTATAAAAGAATCTTTCTTCAGTCCACCGTCTCTGTCACCCTAAAAGTTTTCAGCCATGCCTTTCTAACCAGTGACTGTAAAAATGCAAAACAAAAGTGTTGCCAGAGAATATCACACCAGATGCAACCAGAAATCAAGTTAATAAGAATGAGTATTCCCGATAGTTTTATTTTTTATAAATATGAAGTGTCAGGTTTTGCCAATATTGGAAAGCTGTTTTGAATGAGTAGGCACAAATAAACGTTAAAGCTCAGATCTGTGAAATCAATTAGGACATAAGTTATAATTATAGACGTATACTCATTTTATCTTTAACCTTTTAGTCTTTTATCGTTACGCTCAGTCCAATCATGGAACTGCAAAACCCATCGATTTATTTTCAATTGGTTAATTAGGTCATTAGAGTTCTCCGACATTGCGACTGGCTGTTTTGTTTTTTTTTTTTAATTTGTGATGGGCATCAAGAGCTGTCAACAATGGCGGACATTAAGAAACCAGAGCGTCAAAACTGTTTGTGACGGGCCTTTAGCCAGTACTTGTCTAGAAGGTCATAGCTGACGAGCATAAGCTGTTAACCACTCCATTTAAAGGGCCTGTCTATACCTCCGAGAGGAAGCTCACTTAACCCTGCAGGAAGCAGCATGTGTGTTTGTGCTCATCATCAGGTCATCATCAGGAAAACAGCATGGATGGGCAGGTGAGGTGTGTTGGCCGCATGTCCCGTGTTCGGAAAGCAGCCTGAGTGGTAGCAGTGCCTGTCGGCTGTATTGCTGGAGAGGAGGCCAGGAAAGAGCTGTGGAGGGGTACGAGTTCCTGTGTATTGTGTGACTGAGATCACTCTGACCCTGTATAGCTGCAGAGGAAGCGGTCAGGTAGCTGTAGAGGCGCTGAGTTGGCACGTGAGTGAGAGGCGACATGGCGGAATGCCATGGAGGTCCAGTATATTAATGTGGGTATAATGGAGTCCATGGCGCTGTTATTGGGGGAGTAGAAGCGTTATTAGTGTGAATGAGTGTGCTGAAGAAAAGACGTCAGAGAGCAGGAGATGCAGCCTGGAGTCTTCCAGCTCTGACACAAGAAGTGTGGGAGGGTCTTCCTGTCCAGCTCCTGACTCTCAGTTGAGTGAGTAGCATGGAAAAAACATACACACAGGCGCATAATTACCTTGTTGGATAAGGGTGGTCTGTCACACTATTACGCTAACAAGAGCTCTAAATGTGTTTTTACTATGTCAGCATTATTGTGAGGGTGGCTTTCCAAGCTTCACATAAGAATCAAAATGGGGGGGGGGGGGGGATAACCTTTCCAGAGCAAGAGATGTGCATTTTAAACAAAAGCAAGGAAAGGTTAAGCACAACTGTCACAATGACAAATATGTACATTCATTTACCTAAACTGGAATAGGTAATGTAGTGAGGTTCATAAGGACATTTTAATATTCTTTTAAAGATTCTAAGTCTGAAAGTTTTTAATTTTGAATTTATACTCAGAGGGACATAGAGATGTGTGTCTACTTCAGGAGGTCAGTCATCAGAACTATGTTATTTGGTGTGGTTGTCTCTTAATTATCCCACCATTTGACGTACAGGTACAGTATATGGCCTCAGCCAACGCACTTCAGGTAATGAGGCATCTAGAAAGGAGTAAGAAAACATCTACAGATAACCAATAGAAATGCAAATTTAATGCACTGTTATTTAAATAGTGTGCATTCTCACCTGGGTTAAGGTTAGCTGACCCTTTTCGGCCCGAAGAAATGCATTCTCTGGACCCCCACTGACAATGGTCTTCTGGAAGAAATCCCTAAGGAACAACAAGCCCTCACAATGAGACAACCAGTGTACCCATCACATTAGCATGCCATATTTATATTGTGCTATAATAGAAAAGTAATAATGAACAAAGGAAGACTGAAAACATACAATGTTTATTCTTGATTTATTAACATACAGTACCATGCCCAAGTCTTGTGACAATTTTACTAACCATTTGATAGAATTATATAGTGGACTCTAATGTTAAAAACACCAGAGAGAGATACACAACAAAAGGATTTGTTTTACTTATAGTTAATCCTACAACTCACACAAAGCCAATACAAAGTACTGTATCTGAAATAAAAGTAGTATTTTCACAGAACTTAATTATGGAAGCATTTTAGAAGGTTCAAAAATTGAAGTCTGTTAAGAACAGGTAATCATCTATGTTAACAAGGCCTTACAATAATCCAGTCTACAAAATACAAAAGCATTAACTACTGTAGCGTGAAAGCATCGGAAGGATAGGGTGTTTAGGAAATTCTGTGCATGTGGAAAATTGAAATCGCAATGGTATTCTTCTGATGTTCATAACTTTCAAAAGCTCACATGAATTAAAGTCATGAAGACATCAGAATTAGGCTTAGTCTGCAAATCTAGATATATTCAATAAAAACATTGAAGATAACCCATTCCAGTCACACCTAAAATATGGCAACATGTACAGTATATGCTAAACAGAATAGGTCCCAAAATTGAACTTTGTGGGACATCAGAACAGATAGAGGAGGTTCATCCCTTTATCAAAAATTGAGGTCCACCACTCATTTAGGAACCAGTCAGGAATCGCAGCACTTCCATACAAATTATCAAAATAATTAACCAATTAAGGACATTTTGATTAACAGAGTCAATGGCACAGGACATACGGAAGATTCCTGAAGAAATCATTCACCTCCCTAACCAGACCTTTTTATTGCATTAGAGAGAGAGGGTGTCTATATTATCCCTAAGGGGTAATTTGTTCTATAGCAGCAGACAATATAAAGAAAAACACACAAACAAACAACACAGATAAACATAAGCAAGAAAATCAACTGATGAGCAAAGTTATGGCCACAGGTATAAATGAGAATTTGAACCTCTTTGTTTTTAAATTAGGAAATATGTATCTGTGTTCTGAGGGGAGAAATTGGGATCATTAAACAAAGAGTGTGAAGGGTGCTTTATGCATAACAGACATACTTGGGCTATAGGCTCAAAAGATCAGTGCCAATGGCTTTTTTTTTTACATCGGTTTTGTTTAAAATCAGATAGGATGGTTTCAAACTGCTTACTTTTGTTAAATGCTTTTGCAATCTTTAACAATTGCAATGTCACAACATATTCCAGCATTTCCAGCAAACCTCACAGTCTGTTTCAATCCTTCAATAAAGGTGTAAGAGCAGCTCATTTGAATAATAAAGACACAGTTCAAGAGCACAAAGATTTGTTGACAATGGTTAATTAACGCTTGGCAGAGAACTGAAAAATACTACAATGCTCTTTTGAGATAGAATAATTTATTATTTGGCTCCAAAATGCAACTTAAAAAACCCTGAAAGGGGCACCAGAGATTGTTTGCTTTAGTTAACTGAACTTCAGTATATCACAAAGAAGGTTTGGAAAACTTTTAGGGAGGTGCAAAGCCCTTGAAAGAAAGCTTGGGAAATGCAATATGTTACACTGTGGAGAAGAAAACACAATTCCAGGCTTCTTCCCCAAAAACAGAGTTTAGAAGCAGATTAGGTATGAAAACAGAAATTGTTTTTTTGGCAAAAAGTGATCCAATACTGAACCAGCTCATTTTCCAAACGCACAAATAGAAAAATTCGAGACCAGGATCTGCCAAATAACGTGATTATTTCATATAAAGTGACAAACCCAGAAAATCAGTCCATTAACAGTATTATTAAACATAACTTGATCAAAAACAGAATCTGGCATGAGCCTGCGACACTGCCATGTTACTCTGCTTCATCATGGGATAGAAGAGTAACTGATTTCACTAAAGTTACAAATGTTTCAACCAAGCTTTAGAAACCGTTCCATTCAATAAACCAGTGATGACAAAATACCTCAGTACTGTTGATTAGATACTGTAGATGAGATCCAAATAACGTTAGATGCACTCACTTTGTTATGTACAATTTCAAATTAATGAGAACACTATAAATGTATAATGCATCAATCAAATAAATTTAACATACTGTTCATTTGAAATATTTCCTTCCATAAAATCATATATGGTGGATGTGTTCATTGAGATATGTTTTCTATTTGACATAAAACAGAAAATACAGGAAATCTTGAAACACGATTAGAAACATTCACTATCAGTCTGCTATTACATGTGTGGTAAAAAAAAAAAGTCTGGGGGCAGCGTCATAAATTAATTCCCTCTCACACATGACAAAAGAGATAGTTCCAAATATCGCATAAGGTGAATCTACTGTAAGTAAGGCACAATCCACGTTGTTCATAGGTTAGTCACTCCATGCCTATCTGAAAATGTTTAACTTTGGAGTTTCACAATACACTTTGTTTCATTAACCCTTCGTATGCCTAGATTCCTTACCAGAGTCAAACCTAAACATTGCTATTTGCCTAATCTTTCAATACAATTAGTTCAAAACAGTATTCAGATATTGTAAATATCAGAAATGGAAAATTACTGTGTGGTATTGTATCTCCGTTCTAAGTGTCACAATAGGACATTAATCAAAACATTTTCATTATATGTGTAAGGCATAGATAGAAGTGAACAGAGGATCGGTTGGTTGTGCTCACGGTCTAAATAAACGAAGATAATGAAAGCACTGAGGCTAACCGTCTCCTCTTAATATTCTCCATTTACAGTTTAGTAACAGTTTATTTGCTGTAAATAACATTATTCATAGAATACTTCTGAAATCGTCAAAGTTTATTATACTTTCTGTACTGACTCCTCATTGTCTCACATCTGGAGCTTGTTCATTCTCCATCTTGGAGTTCTCCTCAGTGGTGGAGCGAAGTACCAACAGAAACCAGAAGAGCTCAGTCTCTGACCACCTTTTCCCATTTGCTCAAGACTCATCTGTCTAGACACCCCCTGTGATCTCGCAGCTCTCAACTACAGTACATCCTTCTCCAATTATGACACTATATGAAGTTAAAGTTTTTAAGTCTCAAAACTTGATGCAATTTGCACTTACTGTACAATACACACTGCAAACATGGAATATCAAAAGGTTATCTACATTACTGCTCTGTACACATACACTCTTTAGACCATTTTAATGGCATCAGCGCTGCTTCACCAGTTTGTGCTGCAATTACTGTTTGATAATCAAGAGAATGCAATATATTCTATATGCTTTTTGAAAAATTCTACAAAAGGTAACAACTAAAAGCATTACAGAGACATGTGAATTTAGAAAACTAGTTTACAGCTAAAGTTTGGAGAATGCAATATAAACGGTTAATTTATTAGCCATGTTTATTTAATTAACATACGGCAAGCACTATTGAGCAATGGGCATTATGTACTGTATACTTCAAAAGCTACAAGTTAATTCCATGCTGAAAAGAGAGTAAAAAGCACAGTAGTTCAGAGGTGGAACCTTCTTGAAGTGAAGAGGAGAGTCTTTTTTTCCAGCAGTGCTTCCGACAAAAAATACAATGAGATTTATAACATCCCACTAGAGTAATTTAGTTTAAATGTGTCTATTCCAGTTTAATGTGAAACAGATTTGACTCCAATCATTCACAGAGTAATTTTGCTCACCGTCCTTACTGAGGTGGTCAGTGTTATTTCTGCTTCTGATGAGTCAGAATGACAAATTGACTGCTGCGTAGGAGAAACTGGCATTTGAACTAGGGGGTGAGTGGTGAGCAAAATGGCACGAGATGGTACTAAACAGGTCACCTACAGTATAACCTCTACAGCGTATCAGACCCACAGCATCAGGAGTGTTCAACTACCATTGATGCTTTTGTTGTAGAGCCTGAACCCCAAGCAAAAGGCCAAAAATGTTCTCAAGTTTCACCAAGAGCAGGAACAAAGCTGACAATAGCAAGCCGAATTACAGTACATTTATTTTTTATTCTGTTTTGGAGTAAGCATCTTAACTTTGTGGTGGGTTGTGGCCAAGACATTTAGGAATCAGGTTGCATGTGTAAAAAAAGGCAACAAAAGATATATACTACTGCTTTAGAGCTCATACATTAGAGAGTTATTAGAGCTCATAACAACAATGATGGTCAACTCCAGTTCTTTTTAAAAAAAAACATTGAACGTGTAACAACAATAATGCAGCTAAATTGCATGGAGCCCGCATGGAGGACAATCGTAAAATTATTTTTCTACCCGGCTGTCATATACTGTACGGCTCGACCTCAGTGATTTACAGTGCCATTTTCGAGTTTTATTCGTTGTCGATCAATGAATGAGCTCTTTTCTTTCAACTGTAATCTCTAAACTGTCATCTTTAAACAACCCTTGCAATGCTTAAGATGGACGTGTTGACTTAAAATCCCTGCATTCATTTTACATTCCACTGTACTACACTAAATCTGTCTTTGCTGATAATGCGCACTTAGTTTTACACTCACTAGGCTTTCATTTTGTTTTGTTTTCATTTTTTGCAACTTTATTTTGGATTACACCACATCATTGAGGCAGAAATTAATAGGAAATTGTGCTGCGTTTCGTACAACAAATACCTACGAAATACCAACAGTCACTACCCAGTGTTACTGGATAAACAAGGTTCACAATATTGACAGCAAGTTTCCTACCTCGGCAGACCAATGGACTCCGCGTATCGCTGAAAAACTTGCCGCAGAGAGGGGATAACTAAAACTCCCCCCAGGTCGAAAAGCACCACTTTTCTCAGCGACATGACGAGATAATCTCTGTCCACCCAACACAAGTTACCGATTTAACAAAAGCAGAAATTACCCTGAAATGCAGGAGGTAAATAATATTCTAATTCTGTTAACTTTGCCCTCCCCCTCTATTTTAATAATTGGAAACGCCTGTTGAACAGCCCCTGACAACTGAATGTGAGTGTAGCGGACTTCGTCTTCTTTTTGATAAACTTATCAGCTGCTTATGAAGCATAAATAGTTGAAAGCAATCCCTATGAAATGGCATCTTCCTAATCCTGTTCATGGAAGCATTCCATGAAGGAATATTCACATTCCAAGCAATGAATATTCCTGTTCAGCGGAACTGCTGAGTTTTATTACAACTCTTTACTTAATTTAGGCCTTAATGAAATCGCGTTCTTAGTAATGAGAAATCATTGCCATTTAAATTATTATTCTACATCTACTGTACTAATGCCCTTAACAGTACTAACAATACTAATACTGCACATATTAACTAGAAATTAGATCACTAGAAATTTTCCTTTGTTAATCAGAATGTTTCATCATTTTTTTTGCATATAATGCAGCAAAGTACTTTGCATATTGATTCATCCATCCTTAACAAAACCACTCCCATTCCCATTGCTAATGTGACTCCACATGCCCAACGACATGTCAAGAATTAATTCTTTATTTTGATAGTCATTAATTTGCCAATGCTAAACATAGGATTTTTTTTCATTTTTAAAAAATTGTTGTTTTTAATCATTTTTAAAGCTGAATCCAGCTTCACACATAGAATGCTTTATGTAAAAAATTAATAGCATACAGGAAACATCAATCTCTCAAATACTACCCCACTGATCTAGATTTATTCAAATTTAACAAAGAAATCTTAAAATTGCAGCCTTGCAAAAGTATTCATACCCATCCAATGATACCCCATTTTGTAAATTAAAAAAGCAATGCACACACATTTTTAAACTTAATATTTTTATTAAAAATCTGAATGCTCAAACTAAAGACATCTAAAGGTACTGTGTGATAAGGTACACTAAATATCCCCAGGACTAAAGACATAAAACCAAAATATGTTGATGTCATATAAATTCAGATAAGTGATCTCAATATTTGGTGAATATTTGGCAGCAATTAGAGTCCCCATTACCTGTAAAGCGCTTTGAGTGGAGTGTCCAGAAAAGCACTATATAAGTGTAAGCAATTATTATTATTATTATTATTATTAT